ATAGATAGATAGATAGATAGATAGATAGATAGATAGATAGATAGATAGATAGATAAAGCAAACAGCTTCTTTGTTTTAATTTCAAGGAGCTAGATCATCCCAGATACCTGTCTGAACCTCTTGAGATGCAAGATAAGCACATCCGGCAGCGTCCACAAGCTGAGCTTTATCCGGCCCTGCTGCAGCTGCTTGCAGTGGGGACAGCGCCAGGCATCGTCCGGGGCCAGCTGAAGCACACACACAGCCCAGAAGGCAGTTATGAAGAATAAGTTTCAACCACACTGCTTTTAAAAAAAGCTTCTCACAGAGGGTGAGGCCTGATTTTCCACTAGTTTCTCTCCACTCTCCTCCACAGCAGTTTCAAGGGAACTTGAAACCACAAAGTATACACACGTCTCAGCTCAGAAGCTCAAGTTTGTTTGAAACATAGCATTAGGAGCCAAATGGACAAATAAACCACAGCGACTGAAAGGCTTTTTGAACGTAGAACAGAAAAATAAAAGTATGAGGACAAGAGAAATGTAATCCCATAATTGAACTATAACCACTAATAGCATGGCAAATTTAAAATTTATTTTGATGTCAAATTTCTGACAGAATGGAGCTTAAGTATTTAAATGTATCACATACCAAAGTATTTAACTGTATGTTTTCAGTCAGATTGTTACCTGTTCTTCCTTGGTGTAAAGCTGTAAGCACTGAGCGAGACTGCAGGCCTGAGGCTGATGGTGCTGCTGTCTGTGCAGATAAACGCTCTCAGCATCTGGAATATACTCCTCCTCGGTGTGTCCAAACAAACTACAGGAGCATCAAGATGAAGTCATTTTACAGAACAATAATAAAATGTATGATGGGACTAGTGCTACACAATAACTCAATATCAAAATGAATCCCAACAGAAAACTTTTTAATGATGTTGATATAGGGCTGCGCGGTATATGCGATAGAAACGATATAAAGTTGGCCTATGGTAGAAATTTACCCTCTACCGTCCTGTCGTCAGTTACGTCATCGCACCTGTGTCAACATGGCAGTGAGTGCAGAAACAACTGTGCAGGAGGAGTTTGAAATGTAATGAAAATATATAGTGTTTTAAAACATATAGAGAGAATAAAACCTCAAAATTTCCCCCTCCTGCTGTAGAAAAGTTACATTGCGCCGTCGTATCGCAGGATGATTTCCTCCCTCCTTCCCGCTGCATGTCGCGCAGAGCGATGCATCAACAACCGTAGTTTTTTCACACCCAAGTTGTCGGAGAAAAAAACTTGTATTTTATGTATTGTTACCCACAGGGATGATTAAAAAAAAGATATGGACGTTCGTTTTGTAATAAATCCATCACGCTAATGTAACAGTCAGCTTCTGCTCTGAGAGCACAGCAGAGCAGCAGCGGGTCGGTTCAGCAGGCAKAAGCTCATTGTATGGCAGGCAAATATTACATTTATTTGGCTTCACCACACTAACATTCCAGTTATTTGAAGTTGTTTTATGACTAAGACTATGTGCACGCTTAAACCCCTTAAGGTCCTGTCACTACAACATTTTAGGCAACTTATGCCAACTTAGAATTTTATTTTATTTCTAAATGACTAATTTTACTTGAAGTACTTGTTATAACAWCCACTTTATTTTGATATTGTTGAAAGTTTGAGAAATGTTTTTGTTTGTTGTTGAAACCGTTTTGCAATATCTATAAAACATTATTTTATACTTCTGTTATGTTCATTTGCACTACAGCAAAAATGCTGGGTTTGATTATTAGTTTTCTGCTAAATAAATGCTCTAAAAATTACATTATCTTTGATTTTACGATAATTTTCTACCGCGATATATACYGTTACCGTGAAGGGATTCAATTTATGCCGTGATATGAATTTGAGGTCATACCGCCCAGCCCTATGTTGAGGTGATTTTTTAAAATTTGATCAATATACATCAGTGCATGATGACGTACACCATAGGCTCAAAGCTACCACTCTGTTAACACGATGCTAACGACGCTACATACAACACAGTGGATATCTGCGCCAAAATTAGCTCAAGAGCCGTGGGTGAACAAGTGTTCACAGTTGGAAAAGAAGCAGACAAAATAGTTTAGGAAAGAAAAACAAATTTAGTGGAATCAAAGTGGTTCAGGTATCAAAAGTCTGATAAACTTTCAGTCTGCTGTAAAAATGTGCCATAGAGTCTGGTGCCAACTCGCAGCAGGAACACATCTAATCTGTTCCACAGTCTGATAAAAGTTCCACTCGACAGAATTCTGAGTGTATGAAAAWGAAGCACCCTATAAGTTTAAGCCCCCTTCCTAAAACATCACCAACTCCCCGTCAGCAGCTGTCAAGCAAAGTGAAACCGATGCTGCAAACACAGACATGTACAGCAGGCCATTTTGACATATAATTGGCTTCACCACAATTACATTATAGCTATCTAAAATTGGTTTATGACACATTAAGTGCTAGATATCTCTGATTATATTTTGACTATGCAAAATGCTATTTGAGATATCTCTAATTACACTGCTCAAACAAATAAAGGGAACACTTTAACAACGCACGCTAATTCCAAGTAAATCAAACTTTTGTGAAGCACATTCAACTCTGTACAGAACAAAGTACTCAATGCGAATATTTCATTGATTAAGATCGGGAGTTAGCGTGCRTTGTTTAAGTGTTCCCTTTATTTTTTTGAGCAGTGTACGTTCTGACTAGTAAAAATTACATCAGATTTACCATTACGTTGTATGGATTTTCCAACTCAAGGTATCATATTACAACATATTATGACTAGTCATAAAGTATTTTTGAGATATCTCACTTTTTGTTTTGACTAGCCATAATTCCAATCAACGATATGTTAAATGGCATCAGTTTTGTAGGTACAGTAAAAATTCGAGTTCTTGGCAGGTTTTCTGACAYGTTTCCTTTCACATTGATGTTGTAATTATATTGTATCGACTGAAGTTAGGAGTTATACTGTGATATAAATTTTAGCTATGGTRTATCCAGCCCTAGATGTGACAATGTTTGCCCTTTATTTCATTAACTTTATCTTAAGCAACTATGCTAGGCAATGYCTTTACTAAACTTGCACAGACTTATATCAAACCTTGACAAGGTTCAGTCAAAGCCAACATCAACAACTTAGTGCCAACTGATCAAGAAAAAAAAAGTTAAAAGTAATGACTTCAATTTGACCAGCACAGGCATGTGTGTTAATGATAAAACTAAGTACTTGGCTGACTCAATCCAATCCATCAATCAATCAACCAATCAATAAATAAATAAATAACATGTCTGATTCTGTCAAAGGAAGATCACTTTGTGACATTTGTTTGGTTTAGAACCGCAGCTGTTTTATATGAAGCACATCTGTTTTGAATATTTTTTGTCAAATAGTTCAAAGGATAGCACTTTAGGTGTTTCCAAACATTGTAAGTTATATTTTCAGAAACTTCTAATCATCAGAATATGTCATCATAATTTACACTGAAATGCTTCCGTGCTGCAAAAGAGGTTTTGAGATTTGCAGGAAAGGCAATTTTTATATCTGTGGACAGTTTGTTGGTATGTTTCAAAGCAAAGAACACACATTAAGATCAGTAAAGTGTCAAAGTTCTCCAACAAATGTATCTATGAGGGATTGTAGCTTCTAGATAAAGATTTGCAGCATCTTTTCTCTTTCAAGTTGTGTTTTAACTCACTAGTCCTTGGTCTCTTTGTCCCACTCGACAACAATCTTTACATGTGGAGGCCCCCCTTGTCCACAGGACTTGTATGCTCTGCAGGAAAAATAACRTCAATGGAAATACTTAGTTTGACAGGTATTATTATAACACTTTGTTTATTGTATCTAAGCTAGTGTAAAAGCTTCTTGTAGTCAAAGTTGTGCATGTTTTTGGCTGAATCTCASGTTTAAGTAAGAACTATTTTTGAGGGCAAATACATTCAACAGGATAAAAAATAAGWGAATTATGGACCAGGTATTTACTGTAGATCCTCTAATTGGGTGTRTTTTATTTTTGTTTAGTGCTTCTGTCTCTTGTATTTTTATATTTTATTCTCCATTTTTTATTGTTATTAAGTTGTTGATTTTTGTTTCAATGTACTATTTCTGACTTACTGTATTACCATGGAACTTTTGCTTACTCCATGCTATGAATCTTTTATGTATATTCTGTATTATTTTGTTTTGGGAAAAAAAATCGATAAAGTTCAAATCATAAAAAAAGTTCATTGTCTCAACCTGACACTCTAYCTGAATCACACTCTTGACTCGTATTGTTCTTGCATAATCACATGGATTAGTAGAACAAGCCAAACTGGCATTTTACTAAATAATTAAAATCCTGTTTAGACTTGTCCTGAACCAATAAGGAGGAAGTGAGCAGAGCTGCAAGATTAAAAAAAATACTGATATTATCTGAGTTTACTTCACTTCCTTATTAGTTGTTTCACTTTTGTGTACATTTGGGATAAACTATGATTTTATCTCAAACCAAACCATTTTCACACATCACTGTAATTGATATTGAGTGTGTTGAATGCAGCAGCCTAAATGACTATTCCATATACACTGTTTAGTTTGTTGAAACTACTGTCATATTAGCACAACACTATGTTACATTAACTTCTTGTGTAGCTTTTACAGTTTTTGTCAAGTTTTAATTAAACTCAAAATGATTTTGTAAAGAGATTTTAGCTCAAAGATCCAACCTCTGATAAAAGTTACTAAATAAACCAGTAATTATCAGAACCAACCTTTCAACAGTTGGATGACACAGTGGTCTCTCATCTTGAGGAAGGAGGTAGGTAATACCAACAACACCAACCACCCGAAGACTGAACGGTCCAACCTAGAAGTTTACAAAAAGTTCAAACACTGTTATACTCCAGCTTGTTTTTTTTAGCTACAAACAACTCTGTTCATTACTTGTGTCTGAATCTTTAATAAAGACGTGTTCCTCTCCCTACCTGAACGTAAACCCCAGGTCTCAAAAGATGGCGCATTTTTTCCAGGATCTCTTTTTGTAAAGCATCCCAGGTCACAGTGCGCTCCATGTAAAGTACAAAAGGAAGGCCAAACCTTGAAAAACATTACGTAAAGCCTTGATGAGCATCTAATAATTTGTTTACTTGTATATTTATTAGACAACAGTGACGTGAACAGGTCATGAATTAACACTACAGAAAAAGTGGCGTTACCTTTTGGCCTGGTGGCCAGTACACGCTCTGTTACACACCAAAAGGATCATTTTTTCCGGCCCCAAGTTTTTATTGGGGGATCCAGTTACAGGAGTCATAGCCCCCTGCATGAAGGACGGAGTCCTGCTGATTTCGGCTCCGTACTTTAAGTTATTGTGGTTCAGGTTTGCCAGAAGGCTTCCTGCGAAAGAAAAACAAATAAAAACAAATGTCTAGTTTTCTTGTTCATTAGTGCGGGTGTGGAAAAGACAGAAAACAGTATCTAAATGACCTCTTTTTGTGCGTAAGCTTTCCAGTTTGAAGGTCTCTGGTGTCTCAAAGGCAAAGATGGAATCACTCTCTTGAATGACGTTGAGATCGTCGTCGTCGTCACAAAATGATCGATGGAAGCCATCGTAGTACATTTCCGTCAAAACAAACTTTAAGAAAGACAGATTTATTTTAACTGCTACTTCATTTTACAGTCATTGTCATTTCACTTTTTTTTTATTGTGTTAATACCGAGCTGCAGCTGCGCTACAGGAAAAACGTGTTCGATTCAAGTATTACTTTCTGACTGCAGGTAGATCTGCTTTTACAAATGCTGAGCTGAAACCTTGTGACTGTAATATAGTCTCTCAGTGTCAGACCCTGATAAGAGACGGGAATAGCACCTGGTCCACTGGGATCTTGGTTTCACGTGACACAGCATCTCGGAGGCGGTAGATGGTGCTTTTGAGAGGGACAGCAACTCCAATCCGGATGCAGTGGGAGTACTTCCCCTGGTAGACCACCGTCACATACAAGGGACTAACAAGAATGACAAAAAAATAAACAAAACTATTAGTTTTGTATTGTTTTCACCAACATTTCTGTCTATGTGAGGCAACGAGAACAGACTGATAAAGTAATTTACTCTTTTTTTGCTTCATTCCTTTGTTTCAGGATGTAGACGTTTGATATTTTTCTTGACGTTTTTTGGTTTTAAAACCTTTCTGCTGTCTCATTTTGCCCTGCCACCTCTACATTACTAATGACAGACGACTGCAATGCAACACAAGTGGCAAAAGCAGTAAACACTTTAATTATTAATGAAAGGTGTGGCTTAAATGTAATGTTGTTTGTCAAACTGCTAAGCCTGAAAAAGAAATAAAACAACATGCTCATAATTTATCGTGTTTGCTTTACAACACAACAAACATATCCAGTGGTTGCACTTCTTTCTGCCCCGAATGTTTAAAAATATCTTTTTATCTGAAACTAATGGACCTTCAGCCACCCCCACACCCTATGCTCCTATACTCCTGACAAAACAGGTTAGATTCTTCCTTTCACAACCACACACCTTCATATTTGATTCCCACCTTTGTCAGCTTGTCAAATTGAATACAAATGCACATTAACACACCTAGTTTGACTTTCAGCGAAAGATATCAAAGGTTTAAAGAGCTTGAATGCAACAAGAGCACTTATAGGTAGTTTCTAAGATAAAAAAAAAAAAAAACAACCACGCTAAAGGATATCAGTTACTCAGGAACGTGTAAGAACCTGTAAGCAAAGGTTTGCAAATTGGTAACTCCTGGTTGTTTTCTGAAAGAGCTGTGAGGAGGAACTCACCGTGTGTGTGGCAGAGGGATTGGTAAGGAGATACAGAGGAAGGGATCAAAGGTGTTGCTCTGTTTTTGACAATGTGGGCAGGTAAGAGAAGACCTGCGGGGGGAAACAACCTGTTATTGTCTGATCAAAAGCTGGTGTGGCCAAACCCTGAGAGCACGGGTCCTACCTGTACTGCGCCTGAAACAGTTCCTGCACGAAAGACCCAGCAGAGAGGGGAGGAGATGGCCCCTCTAGGCTTTGGTCGTCTTCTTCAATAGGTGGCTGAGAAGACACAAGCAGGTTTAATTAAGACTCATTTAATGATTCCAATAATCTTTTCAGTTCAGTGGTTGTTTTGAAAGCAACAACTGATTGGTTTGTGGAAAAACAAGAATGATGGGATATGGAAACACTTTCACGAGCAAAACACATTTAACACTACATAAATTTAACTTCAKCCGATGTCCTGATGCCTCTATGGTTGATGGGTTCACCTTTATGGCAGGCCTGCTGTTGGGGTTTGGAGTGTTTAGGTCCTCGTGAACTCTGTCCAGCAGCCACAGCAGAAACTCTTGAGCGTCATGCTGAGCGTTCCCTTTAAACTGGGTGGCATTTTTTGACACTGCATTCTGAAAAAAAAATTTCAGTATTACAACTTCTGACACAAAYACAAATTTATTCACCTTCACATATTGCAGAATAAATATGAGGCCAGTCATTTATGTTTATCATCATTGTTAGTTTCTGTTTTAGTTTACAGCAGAACTCTTTTTATAAAGAGYGCACCTGTAAGACATACCAAGGTGTTCCACAAAACTCTAAACTGTGTACTTTTTATACACAGCCGACAAAATAAGTAGCTATTAAACATGGTGCAAATTGTACAGTAGWGAGCAAATATGTCGTATCATCTTTATTTCTTTAAATGTTGCTTTCAAAAAGCCAGACTTCCATGGTCTTCAYCAWTATTTTCACACAAATTTGTTTCTGTCTAGTCCGTGCAGCTCACATTTGTGCAGTGTGGGCTTAAAAGCGAGACACAGAAGCTGAGAGATGCAGAGTATTTTCAACTGATCATTAACTGAATGCTGAGTTTGCAGATAATAACTCTTTCTAAGTTTGTCCATCCCTTGAGTTTTGGGAGCCTTTATGCCTAAATGGGTCAGAGTGGCTCAATGAAATGAGCTGAAATGTGCTGACATCCATGTCCAAAAACACATTAACATAAAGATTTCTTATAACCACTTTATCCCCAATAAAATTGGGCTTATTGAAAGCAACRTAAAAGTAAAAGGGAAACCTTTCAATAAGTCTGCAAAGTATCTTTCATGTGAATATAAACAAAAAAAAAATCCTACTGCAGATCTGCAGCATGCTGTGTCTCTAGTGTACAATGTTGTGTTTTCATTCTTACCTTAAAGTCCCTGCTATGCTGAGGTGTGTACTCAAATGTCCACAAAGCCCTGACGAGTCCTGACAGTTGTTCGGTCACTTCTCCTTTACCCAGAGGTCCTTTCTTCTGCAGATGCAYACCGTTTGTCTTTGGCTTGTCCTCATCCGGCTCCTCGCCTTTATAGTGCTCCAGAACCAGGTACTCGGCGAAGAGCTCGGTGTTGCTGAGGCACTGCAGGATCGCGTTCATAAAGCAGGTATTCCCGTGGTTTTTCAGACCCGACACTCCTGGGACTCTCTCCCCGGACAGAAACCCTCCCAGATCCCCATCCTCCATGGGAGCATCTTTGTTTCCGGATTTAAAAGTGGAAAAGCCTCCATCGTCCTTGTCGTCCTCGGTCTGCACTTCAGATCCAAAGTGTGATAAGGCTGTCAGTGTCCTCAGGATTCTGCTCATGAAACTGCCCACAGACCGGACAGAGCCTCGTCTGAACAGCTTCTTGCTGAAGCTCGACTTCTTGTCCTTGGTTGCGGCTTTGCAAGACATGATGTTTCCCTTTTCACTCCAACAGATGCTGAACAAAAGTCACCCCGCTGCCTGTCTGCTGCTCCATCTCAAAAAACATGCAGACAGCAATAATAACGCTAAAGTTGGGTGCAGAAAACACTRTTTTGATCGTGCTAGCTGACCTTAACCGCAGATACAAATAACATTTTGCCTGAGTTGCTTCGTCCGAAACCTATGCAGCATTTTTGCTTCCGAGTTACCTCGTTGTTTTTGCGGTTTTCTGCCCCGCAGCAACGAGTCGACATTGAAGTAAAAAAAACAGCAGCGTTAGCTAATTTAGCCGAGGCTCCAACAACACGAGMAACAAAAGCAGTGACAGTCCCTTACGGTCGAGAGATTAAAGTACAASCGGGACTGATATTTCGCCATTGTGTGCAGGTAAGGGTGGTCAAAATAGGCGATAAGTGGGGAAAAAAGTAATTGCCTCACATTTCAAGCACATAGAGGTGCGTTCAGGACAATCTGGACGAGCTTGAGTTGCCTCTGTTGTGTTAACCGGGAGGTGCACATCTCTATGTACACCTCCTTACCGCCACCTACAGGCCGGGGGTGAGAACTACAGCCTGACTGACCATTTCTTTAGATGTTTTGCAATTTAATTAATTTTGATTACAACAAACAAAAATAAATTCTGTGATTGTTATATTTTCAGGAACTACATTAAAATAATAGTTTAGTAATTTGTTCATACCTATGTATCATAACAGCCTTATGCATACATACATTCTCAGTAATAACACAAATAAAAATAAAGAACTGACAACAGGTGACAAACTCCAAAAATAGTTTTACAAAGAAATAAAGAAAAGTGATATAAATGTTAAGTTTGGACCAGATGAACTCAGTGTTACTTCAGTTTGGAGAAATCTCGTTTAGTTTTTGCATATTGATTGATTTATTATATGGACACGTTTTAGGCAATAAAAACTATTTATAGTCCAAGTAAATTTGCATTGCACATTCTCAAATGAGACATTAACAACTGAGAAAGGTTTAAAATGCAGATCAAAACAATAAAACATTTACAGTTACAGGTGACGTTTGTGTTTCGAGAGTCAGAGTGAGAACACTGCAAAACAAAATAGCAAAACAAAAGACACAATAAAGTCGTTTTGGGAAATTTTAAAACAAAATCTGGAAGAGAATGATTTTAAATGAGACTGTTTTTGTTGTTGCATGTTTGATAATTATTGCATCATTGTAAGCTTATTGCGTGCAGAACAATACTTTTTGTTTCACTTGAAGCAACAAAACAACAACAACAAAATATCAGATTGTCAATTCAACATAAAACTTGCTAAGTTCATTGCCTTTTCAGTTCTTTTTGTTGCCTGAAGGAGGCACAACAAGCCTGGGAAAGAAACAAAAAAAAAACGTGGAACGAGCTTTCACTATGYCAACATTTCCAAAATCATTAAATAAATAGTTGTTTATTTTAAGAAGCCCAGGGAATTGGGTGTTCCGTGTGCGTTTGTGCATTATTTTGGTTTGCTAATGCAAACCTGGGAGGCATCATCAGTGGCATAATCTATAAAAAAGAAAAAGAAAGAAAGGGTGAGCTTTGTTTATTATCATGCTGAACTATWCAAACAATACAGTTTTTACATAATGCATTGTACTGTCACTGTGATTTTAGCTGTGTCAGGCATTCATTTTGCAGTAATGTTTGGATATAATTTGCTCCTAATTTGTTAAAAATATTGAATATTTCAGTTTGTGCTGCACCTCTGCATTTAAATCACAAAACCTTCCCCAGGAGCTTTTGTACTCCCAAATCCTATATTTTTTTTCTAAGTGAGTCATCCGGAACAAAGCGAGCCAAACCCGAGCAGGTACATTTTATTGTTAATAAATAGAAATGATAAAACCCACTGGAATCAGATTTGTGCCGACCTTGTTGCTTCCACCTGACACTTGCRATGAGTAGAGTGTGTTATTCTGAATTTAACAGTAATGGAACCTGAGTGGATTGTGAACAAGGTGCTTGAAAGCATCCTACAGCCTTGGTCTGCCACTTTAATTTATAAGACAGTTTGATTAAAACCAAGATACGCAGGAGATGTAGGYTGTGAGGTAAAATATCAGACCACTGACTACAGTAGATGTAAATTTTATTTCTTTACATATAAGACAATTAAATGGGCTTTATTAAACAAATGTTCTCATAAGAATAGCAWTATGTAAAGGAAAACAAGAAGACTGTTTTGATAAAGGAACATTCATTGAAATCACTGACTGCACACTGCACAGTCCTATTAAATCAGCAAGACTTTGTTCTGCTTAAATATGACTTTTTTATTTTTATTATTATTATTTTTATGAACAGACCCTTTTTCCCATCAACACCTCAGGTAGTTGGAACCAGCTGGGGAAGTTCTGTAATGATGTGTCCATGGAAACAAGGCGAACGATCACGTGTCTTATCAATCAACACAGGAGAAAGCCTCCTGCCTCATCTCGCTCAAGATTTTAAAATGATATCAAGTCGTTTCAAAAACAGAAAAGTACCTTTTTCTTCCCTCATTAGTGCGTTTGGTAAAGCGTTGAATAGCTTCATGTGCTGGTGACCTTGTTAGACTCCCATTGCTGAAATATCAGTCATAAAAGAAAGTGACCTCTCAGAATAAATACTTTCTTTAATTTAGCTATAATCAAAACATTTTGTTGAGAAAATTACCAACCCTGACCCTCCAGCAGTCATCCAGCCAAAGGATCAAGTGCTAATTAGTGATGGTTTGATCAGAAAAAAAAACAGCTTATGAAGGATTTATTTTGAACAAAGCTTTTACTACTTTTTATCTATTTGCAGCTGGAATTTAGCTTTATTTTTTCCTTTAGAACAGATAAGAAATTCACTCCGACCTGAACCTTATAAACAAATTTCACTCACTTTAGGAAGTTTACATTACCCATAGCAGCAACCTAAATATTAAATGTTGTTAAAATTCTTGGTAATAATAGTTTGAGATGCGTTTAAAGTTTCTGCATGTTAATGAACAGCTCTGATACACTAGGAGGTGATGGGTTTCTGCACACTGGCCATGAGTGAAGTCATTTTTACAGAGTTGTTCAGCTTATACCTGCAAGCATATAATTAATGCCCTTGTGTCTATTTAAAGCATCTGTGCACGTGCCCACCCATTTATGTATGTTAATGAGCAAATGGAAGAGTGAAAAAAGATGCTGTTAAGATTATTCAAAACATATATATCATCATTATCATTCAATGAAGCTCAGAGAAAAAAAGCAAGTGTCAGTGTTAGCAATATTATTTAAAAAAGTCTATTCATTACTTTAAAAATTATGTTTGTGCCTTTTATGATTTTTATTATGATCACTATTTCTGACACACATTGCTTCTTGTTTGTTATATTTCTGTGACAGGGTTAAGTAAAATAAGATTTTTTACATTATCATTTGTTTACTTTAAGTAGGAGCTAATTAAGCAAATGAAAGGAAAAACCCATGAACCACATTTTGATTGACAGCTTAACTTGCTCCCCTCTGCCGAGGTGAGGGTTTTTTTTTTCTCAGCGACATCCCTCAGCAACAGTCAAATGATGCCTTCACGGACCCTCTGTTAATTCCAGCATCATGTTTCACTTAGAGAAATGTCAGGTAAAAATGTATAGTTTTCACACATGGAATACAACTGTGTTTAATGCTGAAATACAATTAAAAAGTACAACTAGTTTCATGTAAAAAGTAAAACCTAATATTAGAAGCAGAAATAACAGCTTGTTTATTGGATTCTAATATTACAGAAAAGCATGTGGGTTTTTACAGTTTGTTATTTACAAAAGCTTATTTTAAAAATCTAAAGAAAAAAATATAAATGACATCACCCTTTTTGGAAAGAACAGTGGGTTTAATTGGCATGGATTAATTCATTTCTGAGATCTGCTGTCTCAGAATAATGACTTAGCAGTCCTCATTTATACAATATTATTTCAAATGAACAACAAGGCATCAGAATTCTGACTTAGTTAGCTATTTCATAAATATGACTTGTTTGTGGTTTTGGATTTGGTCGTGCTGCGTTCTCATGTTCCAGATGTGGCAAGTTTGAGYCCAATATTGTGTCAACAACGGTATTTGATGTATGAACAATAGCTAAAAATAATATTTTAGTTGTCTTGCTGTGGTGACGGCTGCAGAAGGAAGCAGACAAAAATTATTGCCAAAAGTTAATTA